TAAATACGTCTTAAAATGAAAAGTTCCGCACTGATGCGAAGATTGCGTAACGAGGAGCCGCGTGCAATGTTTATTAAAAATTGCGCCCGCTGTTATAATTATGGATAATAGCACTCAACTGTTATTTTATATTAAACAGTGGGCATTCTTGTCCTGAACAATACCGAAAACAGTACCAAATTCTAATAAATAAGCCTTACATACACGATTTCATTCGTAAAATGTTCTTCGCCGCGTTTGGGAGGTAAATACCCCATAGTGCGTCGGTAGTTACCTTTAAACAGTAATAATTCACAAAATGGGCCAAAGGGGAACATAATTTTTACAGATTATCTAGTGGAGAGTGTGCTCAAAACAGTGAGATTTGTTCGAACCTGAGAGTACTTGGGAGTCACAAGATATTTCATAATATTCCTTATGTACTGTAAAAATTACAAGAATTTTCTGGGATATACTCAACATTAAGTCTTTAACATAATAAGCATCGTGACTTCCGCAAGACGTTACAAGTTCACGGTACGGTCAAATACCTACCACCATGAGGTATAGTATTTCATACACTGTCATTTTTGTTTGACACATTTGTTGGTGATGTAGCGTTAAGTTTTAAACGCTAGAATATATTTCGCTGCGAGAAGGCTCTTTTCCAAGTGTTAATCGCAGAAGTACCCCGTACAAGAGCTGCAATAAGAATGCCTTGCTTTTTGGGTAAAATTTGTCAGTTCCTCTCGGCAGACCAATTCCGTTATCGCTCCAGCGACTCCGGGAAAACCTATGTGTTACCCCGAAACGTCTGGCCTAGTCGCCGTCTCCAGCATAGATTCAATTTGCACCCTTTTCGGTGATGCGGACAATGGGTTCGGAGTGTCCATCGACATGTATAGTACAGGAGCGCAGGATTTTTAAAACGTTCCCTTCAGTATTAGTGATACTTTTCGAGGAAATTCAGTGTTCTTGATTCGGTCCTCATACATATTTTTGAAACTAAAAATATTTTTATCTTGGAAACTATTTGAGTTTTGGACCCATGTTCACTGGGTTTTTTTTACTCGGTTTGGTGAGCTGTACACGCCCTATCATTTGTACGCAACAGTTACACCCTTTAATTATATACTGTATGTAATAGTCATCGCAGGAGGTTGTTAAGATTGCAACCTTTTCACGAGAACGCGGCCCGTACCGTGGCGTGATCTCTGAGCGAGCGAATATGCAACGGAATCTCAACAACTGATCGTCGTTATCAACAGCAAAGTCTAAGGCTACACGACTTTGTAGGAAGATGTTCGTCTTCGTAGATCCTCGGGTCACGATTTCGCGGACAAAATTAAACCGTTCACTGACAAATATGATTTTCTTTGTGGATTTTAAAACACTTTCAGGACACGGAGTACGGAAGAAGGACGCTGATTTTTTGTATTTATATCGGGAGTACTTGTAATATTTTCCACACGAAGAATTCCAAGGCGGGATTAACATTTATTTCACTGCTTGTGTTGATTTGTATTTACATATAAAGCTTGTTTAATTAATTGAGTTTATACTACAGTGGAGTATTTATTTATGGATTTATAAAACGTTTCTGTAGTGTATTTTCTCACTCTGAAGCCGTAGATCCAGTTACAGTTACACCCAATTATATTTTTAATAATGTGTTTTGTGAGGTTCCATAATTTAAAGCGGCGCCACATAAGATGCACGCGGCTGGCTTGTTGATCAGGGCGCGGACAAACGCGGTCGTGCGTTTGAAATCGTAAATTCTTGTAGGTGTATCGTTTATTTGCTGAAATATAAGTGTTTTCTTTTTGTGTATTAATAATCAGTACCGTTACATCACCTTTGCTCTCTCTCTTCTATTATCTTCAGAATCATGCAATTCATTATATTTTAAACGTTATTTGATTATCCTCTTCCGTTACCTCCACATACACTCTGAAACAGGGAATTCCAGTTATCGCATGTTTGATTAAATTTTTAGAAATTATTAATTCATAAAAGAAAATAATTGTCGTAGTACCGGACACATATTTTTATATTTCATGCTAGTACAATGTCTTTTGGTTATAATTCTGCACGCTCGTGGCTCCTTAGAAACATAAGAATATCTATGAAGATTTTTGCAATATCATTTGAGTAGGATGAAATGCGTAAATAAAAGAATATTCACATTTTTATCTTACATTTCACAATATTCCTTAACATTAAAACGAGTGAAACTAATAAAAACAGTAATCTGAGTTTTTCGTCTATGATTCGTTGAACCGAATTTCGCACGTTCTTATTACTAGACTGGAGTTGCATTTTCTTGTGTTCTTTTATAACGAAACCGTTTTTGACAGCTTTATAGCGAACATGCAAGAATGTAGTATATATCTTATATAATAACATTCAACAATAAATACAATCCGTATTCTCCATTTTTATGACAGAAAGAACTTCATTTATATTTTTTATCATGAAACTGATCACGAACAAAATAATATCAAAATATGCTAATTTGTAAATTGCATTTGCACAAAATAATATGAAAATAAATTTATTTAATTTTTTAATCCCTTTGCAAACGTATCTACCTTTTGTATATTAAATATAACATGTATAAGAAACACGATGCATGCAAGAAGTTTCATCTTTTTATTCAAATATAAAATGATTTCTACAATAGATTTAATTTATTATGATAATTATTGTATTTCGGGTCTAAATATCCATTGCATCAATTCTTTACCAAGAATTAAATTTCAACATCGCTATGCAATTTCTCTAAAATATGTTGTTGTGTATTATGCTCGACAGAAAAGAATAACCGTGGGAATAACCTGCACATATTTCGGTAATTTATACTTAAACATCGTCACTGTTGTAATTTTCTGCATGTCTAGGTTCCATCAGTAAGAATTATTATACGAAGAAATGTGTGTGTAAAATAATCCATGGTATAACAAACCGAATAAATTCTAGGAACGTCATCTCTTACCCACACTGATTCCACAAAATTCTCTGACATCAAAATAAGAGCAATAACTAAAAGCAGGAGGTTGAGTTTCTGGTTCATGACTGCACGAGTTAATCCCTTGCGTTTCTGCTAAAATAATTGCAGTAACATTTGCGTGTTTTCCTTTTATATGTAAATATATGCGGACATTATATCGTAAACAGAAGCATCAGTACTTAAAAATGTGATATCACTTATGTGACTATTTTTTGACAGTAAACAGAGCCTTCCGTGACAATAGAAGATCACGAAACTAAATGTTATGAGTACTTTGACAGATTTACTGTAATTCGTAACTATCATTCATTTTTTATAGTATTTTTATTATATTTAAATAGCACCTGTAGACATGTTATAACCATTACCGTCACGACAAATCCATCCTTTTTATACGAAGAACGGGATGAAAATACTGGCAAATATAGATTATGTAAATACTTGAAAAAGCAATCAGTAGTTTTGAATGTCAAAGCGATATCATGCATGATGCGATAGAGGGCAAAGAAGTCAAACAAATGATAGGATAGTGTATATTTATTCGAGGAACTTGCGAGACAATGTCTCTGCATTTTAATTGTGTATGTCGTGCCTTAGGTATAAATTATATAAACTCTTTTCAAAGCAGCATATATTGCATTGATTAACAGTTAACCCATTGGCCTGTGATTCTTTCTCAACTCTGAACGATACGTCTACATGATCATTAATAATTTATTGGAAACAGAGAAAAAGTCTAAGCATATATTATGCCTATATTTCCTTTTCAGTATAATAGCTGACTGCAGAGGAATAATATTTATTTTGAATTCAAATTAACTAAGTAATGTATATATTTGTTGAATCATGTTGCAAATATTCACCACGAGTCTTACTCGTTGTTGTAGGAAAAGGGGTTAATCTAAAACAGAGGGTAATAATCATTTTTAGTAATACAGTTGTAATAAATTAATGAATTTTATATATTGTCTTACGTTCCATAACTTTTGAAGAAACAGGCATACAGAACTCATTGCTTTAGGCATTTTTCAGTATGCTTGTGAGAACTGCTTTAAAAATTATGTTTATATAAGGATTATTTCATATAGATACTTTAATAAAGTAGGGAAGACAGTTATGAAACAAAGCGAATAGGAAAGTTCAATTTGTGAGCCATGACTAAGTTATCGAATTATTACCACAATTATAACTCACAAATTAATCTTTCTTCTCCTCTTTGTATACATGTGTATATACGCAATACCATTCGATGGTGTGTTACTGCTAAACTGAAGATAAACGTACATGCTGTGACTGTAGAATTGAGTTTTACTGTAAACGCGAGTGAAAAGTACGTAAAACCTATATATCGGACCTGCAAAGTGCATTTTGATGGGATTAGCATAGAGTAGTATTAAGCATATCATAAGTATTCATTTGAAATAAAGTAATAACAGAAAATGGTAGTAGAGTTCCAACAAACAGTATTTATCTTGTAATTCCATTATATTTTCATCAAACGCATAATTGTAATAAATTAATGAATGTAATGTACCCAGATTACATTGAGATCACAAATCTTTGAGTTTACAAAGTACAAACTCAGGAAAATTATTGCATGTAGGATGGAATCCCTTTGAAATTTTTTTTAATCTAGATAGATAGATAGCATAGATAGGATAATAGATGCAGGATATGTTTTTACTCATCGATACTAATAGAATGAAATATTCCGACAATAACATTAGGCAGACAAGTAGAAAAAGAGAACTAAATTTGTGAATCTCGCCTGGTTTATCGAATGCTCACCGTGCTGTGGTAGTTAAACGTACTCTATCTTGTCTGCTGTATATAGAGGGTGTATCAAAATTGTGCACCAATGATAGGGCGTGTACAACTCAGTAAGCTGAATAAGAAAACTCAGTTAACATGGGTCCACCCACTTTTTACTTATTGGTGTTTGTTTTTTCGGATTTTTAGCCGTAATGTTCGTACAAGTCGAATCTCTCTAAAGGTCGCCCTTTCAGGTGACACCCATTCCAAGAGGAAAGGCTAGATATAACGGTATTGTAACAGTGCACCCACCGGCCCCGAGCCATTACTCGAGTGGCTTTTCATTCATTCCATTCCTAATTATCCATCCCCCAAGCATTTCACCAGACAGCACATTTTCTCTTGAATACAGGTCACTCTTGCTATACCACAAGGAAGACACTACAATTCTCTAAGTCTTGCCCATACCTGTGGTGCATAGACGCAACATACATTTCGGCGCAATCCCCCTTAATCCAAACATACACGCCACATTCATTTGTACATTCTGTCACACACATTGATTCCATTCCCTCATCGTTAATGGCCACGACGGCCTTTTTGTCGACAACCTCAGTCACGTACACATTTATACAAGCAGGCAATTTAACACATCCATTCACTGCCAAATACGGCTCCTGTATGATGGCCATACACGCACGTTTCTTACACATCAAGACATCCAGATCATACGTAATCGCATCCGCTCTGTGATAGTTACACTGACTCGTGTTTAATATACATTCAGCCATTATTCCATTCCTATCTTCATTCGTTCACGTACAACCACCCTTACATATTCGTAGCACTCCAAGGACGTCGCTAAGGGGTTACATTTATTCCTTTTGATTTTATAATTGCGACAACATTCTTTCTTCCCACAAGTACTTTTTATATGCCCACTCTTTCCACATCTTTGGCATATAGCATCATTCTTCTTACACTCCTGGCTCATGTGTCAAACGAACAGCATTTATGACAATGTAAGACGTTCAATAGTTCATGTAATTTACAGATACGCCATCTAATGTACATTCGTCCCTCATATATAAGCCAATTAGCACAATTAACCCTTTGCACTCGAGAAGTAACTCCCAGTCGCCAGATGATTTGATATAGCAAAATTATAAACCTTAGTATTTACCATTAACCTTTGTATACTGCATCGATACGTGAAATAATGAAAGAAAATAGCTTTAATTCCCTAATTCATGTGTGACTTCTTAATAAATTCATTTTAAAGAATCTCGTCTACATCTAGTTAGAAAGTATTGAACATTTCAAGTGAGAAACTTTTGAGCGTAGAGGGTTAATTTTCCGCACAGTTTTTACTCTCGTATTCAGACAGAAACAGGAAAAATACCAGAGACCCCTTTTTCCGTATAGTACCATCATCGAAGGGAAAGCGTTCCTCGTTCACTCGTTAGCATCCTCCGCTAGTAGCAGCACATAGAGATTCAAACAGCGTCATTTGATCAGTATACAGTAATTCCTTTGTTCATGGTATTTTTTCTTTGCTGTAATATTTTGTCGGGGACAAAAGTAAGTGGACAGGGAGTAAAAATGACTATTAATATTGTTTAATAAAGATAATTGTATTGTTATGATTCCACTAGCTTTCGGGATGAAGTCCTTGGATTTTGTCAACATTCACGGACAGTTCGTCGATCATCGTGTACAATAGTACATTTTTTCCGTCCAAAACGTTTTAAATTACATTAAATTTGGCACTTGCAACGAAAGTTTTCTGATTTTTGGCATTCTGATAATATTAGCAGAAAGATCCTACTGTCACGAAGACAAATTTCAAACTGTTAGATGTTTGTTTAGAGTCTGTGTATCAGTCACACGTACACGACATTAGTTTACATTTCGTATATATATATATATATATATATATATATATATATATACATGCACGTATGTAGAAATACGAATGCTGTAGCGCCAGATTCCGTACTGCCATGTCTCGGCAGCCCTAGGAGAGTTGTTAGGCATACCGGCTACGGTATGTGTGGCTCCGTGGAGATGTCTCGGTGCAGTGCTACGGATGTCGTGATCCCGGGGGCATAACCTGAGCTGAGCCATGGCCAACCAAGCCAAGGCAGGGATGAGCTGTCTAAACATGGAGGAGCGGCCCAACCAGTTTGACCGTGATGCACTGGTAACTCGGGGGTCCGCACCCAGCGTCCGTGAGGATGCTCCGGCTCTTTGGTGTCGAACTCGAGGGGGCAGTGGTTGAAAGTCCGCATGCTGGGCTAGGGACCTCTTTTTCGTGGGTCCCGGCGGGTAAGCAGCATCCCACCTGCTCCGGTACTATCCGGTTGATAGTAGAGTTTTGAAAATTGAGCTAGACGCTACCAACAGTTTATTTCCACGGGACTCGTCACCCCCAGGAGACTACGCTTGTAGGGCTACGGCGCCGGCTGATTGAGCCGCATCTCAATTCTGCGCCTATGGGGGCCTTCTGTGTTGGGCTTTCACGGTAGATACATTGGAAGTCAAACTGCGGGCCCTCTATCGCCCACTAAGACGGAGGTGTTGTGGATGTATCACCGGTCCCGACTGGGCCGCCCGCTGTCTGACTCGCGAATAATGGTGGAAGGAGTTTCAGTCCAGGTCGGGAATCGAATGAAATATCTGGGGCTCATCCTGGACAGTCATTGACAGTTTGGACCCCATTTCACTCGGCTGTTTCCCCGGATTGGGAGGGGGGAGGTGACTTCCGTTTTGTCGCGATTGATCTGGTGGCAGACAGACTTGCCTACCTCATTCTGAGTCGGCTGCACAGGCTGTCCAACATCAAGATTATGAGGAGATACTGCACCCTCTGGTTTGGAGACGGGGACGTGGATGCCGACAGGGAATGGCATCCTGATACCCTAGACTCTGTATAGAGCTCCAAGGACCGGGTCTGGCAGTATATGTGGGAGGTTAGGCGCTTTCGTCTTATAGGCGAGGGGCCAAGCGATCGCTGTGTTATCAGGGCTTCTGGTGGGGTGCCTCTCCCTTTCCGCGTGACACAGATGCTCACCGAATACGGGTGCTTCAGGGAATATCTGCGTCGCAATAAGCGTGAGCATGGTGTGAGATGCTAATACTGCGACGGCGATCAGCACACGGCGCAGCATACGCTGGACAAAATTCCAACGTGGGCTGACGAATGCCGGGTCCTGGTCGAGGTCATAAGGCGGGACCTCTCTCCGGCTGCGGTCATTCGGGCCCTATCGGAGGGGTATCGAAAGTGGGAAGCCATCGTCTCCTTCTGTGAGCAGATCATAAGGCATAAGGAGGCGACAGAGAGGGAGAGGGGTACACTTCCCATCGCTCTCGTATGGGTGGGGGTAGGTGCCGACGGAA